CAAAGTCTTAAACCGTAGGATGAGGCACGCTCCTTAGTCTAATTGTAACAATTGGGCATATAGTTAGCACCAAGTATGTACCAGAAACTGGGCTAATTGTTTTTCTAAATATTAATCTTTGATTCTTACAGGTATTGACATTCCTATTAAATTTATGAAAAAGGTGAGGCTCAAATTAAGTGATTTGCCAAATGTTTTATAGTCCACCAGGTTGCCATAATAAAATACCATAACTGGGTGGCTTAAGCAAGGAATTTATTTCTAATATTCAAGTTTCAGATAGAGCTGGGGTCCAGCTCTGGGACTTTGGGCAAAGGGCTTTCCACTCTGTGGAATGGGGCTCTAACAGAGCTGCTCACAGCGTCGAGGTGCTGGGAGGGTAAATGGGATGATGCAAGTGGAAAGACAAGCACAGAGGAAGCCTACAACAGTGAGCCGTGACAGCTGGACTCTCTCCACTGATGTTTCCCCGTGCCTAGAACAGTGCTGGCACTTAGTACACGCTTAGTAAACATTGCAGAAAGGACTTTTAAATTGTCATTATTAGTGACCAGAACACCTGGTTGTCAGCACTAGCTCTGCTTAGCACCACGATGGTACCCTGGGCAAGTTCTGAACTGGGTGAGCCTGCTCCCTGCCTGTGAAATGAGGATAATAGTGACCCCGACTCTCAGGGTTGATGTGAGCATCACATGAGACAGCCATGGGAGGTCTTTTCCAGCAGAGCCTCACAAATGCTGGGCATCAACCACGGAAGAAAACCCAGGGCTTCCTAGCCCCATGGTCGGCAAACTGCGGCTCGTGAGCCACATGCGGCTCTTTGGCCCCTTGAGTGTGGCTCTTCCACAAAATACCACGTGCGGGTGTGCATGTACAGTGCGATTGAAACTTTGTGGCCCATGCGCAGAAGTCAGTATTTTGTGGAAGAGCCACATTCAAGGGGCCAAAGAGCCGCATGTGGCTCGAGAGCCGCAGTTTGCCGAGCCACAGTTTGCCGACCACTGTCCTAGCCTCTCAGTGCTGGGTTTTCATAGAGTGGGCAAGGTCATATTCGGCAAATGAACATTGTGCTGGGGGAGAAAGGAAGTTGGAGGGTTCACCCCTATCATAGGAGCCAGGAGAACTGGCCTCCGCTGTTCAGGCTCACATGCATCTGTGCAGAGGCGGTGGTGGGCAGGGCGCTGGTGAACAGTGGAGGGGCGCTATCTGTGACCCTGCCTGTTGAGGTGCATTACGATTATATGAAGAAGGCAGAAGGGTGGGAACCATGCGGGGCTAGGGCAGCACCCGCAGATGTAGAAGCTAGCATTGCTATGTGTCTTTGAGGGGCTCAGTCGGGAGGACCGGCAGCTGGACTCTGGGAGGGAGCCTTCTCCTGTGGGAGGGATGCAGGGTCCTCATGGACAAGGCCCATCCTGGGGAATTCTTGTAAAACCCCAGGGACTTTGTGCGCTGCAGAACGTGGGCCAGCAGTCTGCCCATATCTACTTCTGAGAAGATCACAGCAGGTCCAGGGCACAGATGCCAGGAACCCAGGACGGGAGACTGAGGACTGGACGTTCAGAAACCATCCATCCCCCAGAAGGAAAATGAGACTTGGCTGAATGAGTCCCTGGGAAGCTGGTCCACGTCCACCCAGGCCCCAGGCAGGGGTATTTTTGACTCGAAGCAGGGAGAGCTGTATGGGGGAAGCTGCCCTCACTGGTAGCTGCCCTGGAAACATGCCTGCTACCCATCTGCCTGAGCTCCACCCACACGTCCTTCTCCTCACCAGTCCCAAAGGAGTGAAACACCAACAGGCAGACTCTGAGTCCCTATGGCTGGAAGGGACCCTGAGGATGGTCACTGCGTTTACTGCCTGTTCCCTCCTACAGGGACCCAGCACAGGCAGGACGTTGGCTGAGCACCTCACAATAGGTCTTGGGCCCCTTAAGCTACAGCCCTCCCTTCTCCTCGTGCCCAATGGTGTTGTCTACACTGAGTGTCCACCTCCTTGACCTCCGCCTGAGAGTGTTCTTACCACTTTCCTGAGCGTGTTGTCACTAGTCACCAATATACTCTGTGTGGCCAAACCCATTAGCTACTTTCTAGGTCTTAACATGCTTGATGTGTCCCTTGCCTTTAACATAGTTGACCCTCCCTGATCTCCAGCTTCTATGACACTCTTTCTCCTGGTTTTCTTCTCACCTCTCAGACTGCTCCTCCTCCAGCTCCTCTAGTTATGGCTTGCATGAGCTCTCCTGGTTTTAGTGCCAGAAGTCCCACAGCTGGGAGCCCCTCAGTTCAGGGCAAATGGGGATCATTGCCAACCCTAGACTCACCCCGCCTAGTTGGGATGCTCCATGTCTCACTCTTACCTCTGCTGTCTTCTCAGAATCCATGCTCTCCCAGGGGCTGCTCACTCATTTCCATGGCTGCAACCACTGTCTGGGTGGGGATGATCCCCATCTGAGATCCAGAGTCGTGAGCTAACTGCCCAATGAGCATCTCTGTTCAGATGTCCCCTGGCAACTCAAACTCACCAAGCCTACATCTGGCCTGCCATTTGGTCTCCATTGCAAGGAAGAGCTCCACTATCAACCCAAGAGTTATAAACATCTATAATATAACCCATTTTCTAAACATCTCTTGCCTCTTAACCCCATCCAATTAATGACCTCACCTTGTCATTGTCCCTTGACTCTCTTCAGGTGTTCCTATCCCACTGTGCCTCCCATAGTGCAGGTTACCCACCACCTCTTGTCCTCATCAGGACAAAGTCTAGAGGGAATGTCAACAATGGTCATTCCTGGGATGGTGAGTATTATGGGTTGATTTGTGTCCCTCCAAAATTTGTTGAAGTCCTAACCCTACTATCTATGAATGTGACCTTTGGAAATAGAAAGTTGGCAGACTTATGATGAAGTCATTAGGGTGGTCCTAATGAAGAAGACAATGCCATGTGAAGACAAAGACACAGGAACAACATGTAAGAACAGAGCAGAGATAAGAAGAGTGATGTAGCTGCAAGTCAAGGAGTACCAAGGAACACCAAGGACTGCCAGCCACCACCAGAAGCCAGGAAGAGTCAAGGAGACATTCTACCCAGTGTCTCAGAGGGAGCACAGCCCTGCTGACATCTTGATTTTGGACTTCTGGCCTCCAGAGCTGTGAGAGTGTAAATTTCTGTTGTCTAAAGTCACCTGGCTTATGGTACTTCATTATGAAAGCCCTAGCATAGTGAGATATGGACAATTTTGATTTTCTTATTTATACTTTGCAGTATTTTAGAGATTATTTGTATGGGATACATAAGACTTTTATGATCAGGAAAAACATACTTATTCTTTAAAAATAATTCTCATTCATCGAGAATCCTAACCACCCCTATTGGATTTATCTCTGAGAATTGAACCTATCTGCACCCACACAGCTTACTGATCACATCAACATGGCTCTATTATTCCACTGTTTTCATCAACACAACTTCACTATTCCAGGAAACACTTGCCTAGGAAGATAAAAGTTGCAAATAAAATAAGTTTATTTCAGGAACTTTTCATAATAAACTATTTAAACAAAGATCAAGTTGTTTGACTTTTTAAGAGCATCAAATGACTGTCTACTCTCCAAGACTTTCAGAACCCTTGCCTTGCTGTATCCACCAATCCTAAACCAGCGATCCTTCCCAATCTTAACCAATTTTAGTAATCTTAATGGAAGAACCTAAAAATGGAGACATATCCCATCTCTGCCTTTGCATTTCTGAGATTTTCTAGGACTTTGTCAAGGGGGTGTACCCCTTCCCATGTGAGCAGGCATCTCAGCCCTGCCTCATCGGCAGGTTGATTTGGTAGAGTTTTTAGGCCTTCTACACCTAATATATCTGAAATATTGAGTTTATCAAATGCCTTCTATGTGCAGAGACTGAGCTAAGTACTTAATACATACCATTTCAGGGTATCTGCTAAATGAACTATTAAAAGATAAACTGAGGCATATTAAACTTTTTGAGTTTATTTGAGCAAAAATAAATTCAAATCAGGCAGCATATAGAAAGGAGCTCCAAGTCTATAAGATGAAAGACTTTTATAGGCAGAAGGGAGCCAGAACAAGGAAGTTATACCAGACAAAAACGCAGGTTAGTCATTTCAAGGTTACTTTCTTTGAGGGGATGGCAGGGGTCCATCAGGAAGATTATCTAACTAGTGCTGATCAGGTGGTTTCTGGTTGACTGGTTTAAGATTCCATTTCTGGGAGGACCAGCACTGTAATTAAGTCTCAGTTTGGTGATGTGGAGCTTAGCGTAAGTGACTTCATTTTGGAATTGTTGTCTTGATTTTGACAAACGCTCAAAGGTTAGAAATGATCCCTGTTTTGTAGCTGGGGAGTCTCAGGCAACGTAAGTGGCATGCCTAAGGCCACACCATTAGTAACAGGGGAGCCTAGGTCCGTCTGATGGCAAAGCCTGCACTCTGAGTACTCTGCCTCTACAAATTTAGTGAGACTGTAACACAAAAGGTATCTATTCCATGCCTGACTATTTTTGGGAACTAACAGTACTCTGCTTCTGACTTTCCTGATAATTGCTTCAAGTGGACAGACTCCCCTCCTAGAAGACCTCACTGGTGGGTTTCCTGAGAGGAGTCGCTATAGAGACCATTCCCATCTCACACAGAGGCAGCCCCTGACCCCCAGGACTTCTGTTTCTCTGCTCAGGCCCGAGACTGTGAGCCACGGAAGGCAAATGGGCTTCGATGGAAAACAGGCAATTATTTCAGGCAGTCACATTTCCCACAAGGCACTGGTACAAGCTAGCAGGGAAGAAAGAGCTGGACCCTTTGTACAGCCAGCAGGAACACAAAGCTCATTGTTATGTTTATGCTTCCTTTATTCAGATGGCATGTGGTACAGACTCCATGCCAACCTGCAGACCGGATTCTTTCTTCCCCCTCAGTAGCAAATGTACATATTTGCTTTCAAGTAGGCAGAATTTGCCCATGGGTGGTCTTTGATTTGGAGGAAATCAACCCCAGAGTGGTGACTCACACACAAAAAAGGTAGCTTAAGTCATCCGGTGCCAGGAGGGGTATGTGTGTGCAGAATTCACTTACCCAGAAGAAGAAGTTGAAGATAAAGAGTAAATACTTCAGGTAGACAACCAGCCAGTCATCTTGCTCAGCCTTGTAATGGGCCATGGTAGCTGGGCCTGCAAAGAAGACACACGTGCTGGGCTGGGGGTGCACAGGGCACCATCTTGTCCTTCCCAGAGCCAGAGCTCCTTGGCAAGGTGCCCCTCAAAGGGCTGACTAGCCTGTCTGGTCAGGGGAGTCTGAGGCTATGGGTGTTAGGCCCGGAGCAAAGAGGAGGGAAATGCAAAGGCTACTGACACATGGAGGTGAGTTGGGCAGAATTGTCAAGATTTTGGTTTTGTCCTTTTGACACAGGTCTAATCTATGAGTCTTCCTAAAGACTTTGTGCTGGCCTTGTTGTGTTCTTATTCTCTCCCCTGTCTCATCAGGTTTGCAGGACACAAGCTTACTTGTCTTACACACACACACACACACACACACACACACACACACACACACAGCCTATACCTGCTTTGCATCAGAATCCTGCACTCTGCATCATTTGAGTAGGATCTCTGCATGCACGGGTGAGGCATGAGCCCCAAACCACAGCATCTGTGCTGGAAAGGACTTTAACAATTACCCAGTCCACCCCATCGTCCCCTGACAATTACCCAGTCCACCCCATCTTCCCCTGACAATTACCCAGTCCACCCCATCGTCCCCTGACAATTACCCAGTCCACCCCATCGTCCCCTGCACCTCGACTTTCCAAATGAGGAAGCAGGTGGGCAGGCTTAGTGTTTTGGCAGGAAGAGTACAAGGGCTCTGGAGTCTGACTCCCTGAGATCACACCTGCGTCTGCCATAAGGTGTGTGACTTTGGATAATTCCCATTCCTCGGTGTCCTCATCTGTAAATGGGCATAGTAATGACACCTACATTGCAGGGTTGTTTTGAAGATTAAGTGGGATAATCTATGAGAGGAGTTTAGCATATCTGTTAGCTATTATTATTACATGTAGCAGGGATCAGAACCCAGGACTCCAGCACTAAAATTCCTAGTCTTTGCCCCGGAACCATGCTTCCTTTCCTTGCCCTCATGCCCACTGATGGACTCTCTGGAAGCTGTGACGTCAACCGGTGACAGAGGTGGAGAAGATTCATTGTGCCCGGGAATCCCGTTTGCTTCTCAGTAAGTCTGAACCACAGCCTGAGTGGCTTGCTCTTCTCCTCAGGCCCCTCTCCCAGCACCTGCACACCCACGCTCACACCCACAGAGAAGTGCCCCCTTAGGAAACCATCTCCCTTTGGGGAACCTCTTTTATTCTAGAACCAACGGGCATGGGTTTGGCCCATTCCCATCTCTTTTCCCTCATTCCCCACCTCTGTCGGGCCCTCCTTGCCACCACCCTGCTCCTGCTCCTTGGCTGGTGCTGGCTAAGCCCAGATCACTTCCTCCTGAGCCAGCGCTCTGCCTCTTATTTCAAGCTCCAGGGCTCCTGGGACAGGGAGAGGGGAAGGGAGAAACGAAAAGGTGGCTGTCTTATTTGGTCTTTCTATTTGCAGACCTTGAAGAGGTAATTTAAGACCTTTAGTCTTCTTGTTAAAAAAAGACAAAACCCATTTTTCTCTAATTTAGTCTGAGACGCAGGCTGGTGGAAAAAAACACAAAAGGAGAAAAAAGAAGCCTATAAAAAAGTCTAAAAAAAAATGGTGATAGATGGGGTCAGCCAGGCGACTGGAATGGGAGCTATTATAAGGTCCTTCTGCGGAGGCCTAGCAGAGCTCCTCTGGGCCGCTGGGGCCATTAGTGAAGTGACTGTTTGGGGCCCAGCCTCTCCCCTTTGCATTCTCCCCTCCATTTGCCTGCCCCTCCCCTCCAACCAGGGCCCACTGGGCTCATGCCATGGAGCATTCTCTAGACCTGCAAGCCAAGGGGTCAGGGCCCGCTCAAGGAAAACTGTATTTTTTGAAAAGGAGTTCAGACAAGATGTAACACAAAGAAACACATTTCTAATGGTAAAACCCCAGCCATTAGTGGTAGAGAAGATAGAACCACAGAGTGTCAGGGTGAGGGGAAACCGCCGGGCTCACTTTACTTCAGCCTCTGCCGAGGGAACGAGAAGTAAACACGTCTGAGTTAAGACATACATTTTTAAACGACCTCCCTGAAGTCACAGGCTAACGGTTGGTAGCAGTGTCCTACCCCCATTGTTCAGCGCTCTTTCCCCCCTGCGCCCCACGGTATGCGGGGCCCTGTGCTGGGTGGCAGAGGTTCCACAGAAGTGTCAGTGTCAGTGCCAGCGTGGAGCCTGGTGCTTGGGTCTGAAAGCTGGCCTTGAGGTGTGACCTGGGCCAAGGTACTCAATCTCCCAGTGGCTGCACTCTTGGCTTTTCTTGTCATCTCAGCTCTTTTGCTGGTGCCCTTTTTCTTGGTGGGTATGGGTAATAGTACAAACGTGGGCTTTGGGGGACCTTTAACTGTCTTTTTTCATTTATAAACACACCATTGGATTCCAGAGAACCAAAAATCGCACCTTCCCATGGACACTGCTAAGGGGCATGTTTGCTACTCCACACCTCTTCTGTTTCTCTTTCTCTCTTTAATGCTTTTAAAAACAAATGAGTATTTTTTAAAATACAAATAACATTTTTAGGTGTGAAAAAATTATCTGGAGGGCTTGTTAAAACACAGATCACTCAGCCCCAGCCTCAAGGTTTCAGATTCTAGGCTTGAGGTGGGAGCCTGGGAAGTCATTCCTAGGCAGGGTCTGAACTGCCCGTCTGATTTGCCCAGGACGGAGGGATTTCTCTGAGTAAAAGACCTTCAACGTTAAGCCTGCATAATCTTGGGCACACTGGGTGGCTGGTCAGCCTAGTCCCAAAGGCGGCTGATGCGGGGGTCTGGGGACCACACTCTGAACCAGTGTTCTTCAAAGCCCCTTCTGCTTCTGCTCGTGCAGGACCTCGCATGTAATTATCCTCTGCCTCTGAGCAGGCATAACTGAGCCGGGTAGGGGTGGAGCATCACATTTAGGACAGTTCCCGATGAAATGCCAAAGATTTCCCACACAGCCTGGTAATGCAGCCTCAGGGCGCCGGCCCCTCAGGCCAAGGCTCTGACTGCTGAACAAAGCTGGGATTCAGGGCAGCCAGCAGGCTGGGGGCTGGGAACGGCAGTCGGGACCCACACCATAGGCCATCTCAGAAAAGCAACTGCAGATGCCTTCATGGTGAAGTGATGGATTTGCGGGACTTTCATCAGGGCCGGACATGTAGCGTCATGGGCTGTGAGCCTTGGACATTATCATCTCCTCTACGGCCCCAACCTCAAGTGAACTGAATGAGCCTCACAGTGCAGAGAGGATGAGGGACATACAGAAAGAGCCCAGCTGGCCAGATGTGTTGTTGAGCAGAGCAGGCTGAGTCCTTTCATGGTGATGGGTGGCCCGAGTTGGGGGGTGGGTGGGGCAGGCGGGGAGTGCTTGGGAACTGACTGCATACATTGCACATGAATACAAAGCACTGTTGGCATGTGGGCCACTCTCATCCTTTACTCATTCAACAAGCATGCACTGAGGCCCCAGCTTGTGCCAGGAGCTGTGCTTAGAAGGTTGGAGTTCATCCTTAAGGAGCTCATAGCCGCGTGGTAACACAGAGGAAGTGGCATAAATTCTGCCGGGTTGGGAGGGGGTGGAGGGGCAGAGAGGGGCATTTAATCTGATCCTTGTGGACAGGCAGAAAAGGAGGGAGGGATGCTCAGGCAGAGGGAACAGTGTGAGAAAAGGTCTGGAGGTATGGCTGGGCCCAGTGGCCTGGGCTGCAGAAAGACCAAAAAATTAGGGTGGGGGTCCAGGGCAATCTTCTTGGCCATGTTAGTTCAGGTTGAGGGTGCCCTGACTCTCCATTCCCTAAGCGGAGACCACCCCTTACCAGGGGAGGCTCCTGGGGAGCTTAGTGATTCTAAAACAAAAGCAAAACCACGCCCCACACCAGCCCCACCACTTCAGGTAAAGAAGTGGCAGTTTCCACCTCTGGAAACCATCATTCAGCAAGAGGCCCTGCTGAATGATGCAAGCCTAAGTGGTTTAATGTGTAACTTAATTTTCGCTTTTAATGGAACCTGGTTGCAGTCCTGCAAGGTGTGGTTCCTTCCCCAGGCAGACAGCCTCGTCCTTCTTTGTCCTGATCTCCCTCTTATTTAATTTCCACTCTTCTGGCCCATTCCTGGTGGGGGATGGTCTATCTGAAATAGTCACAAAAGTGGAGCTTCCTCAGACCCTCCAAATGGGATAGTTGGAAGGAGCCAAAGGATCTCTAGCTCGGCCCCTTGGAGAACTGAGGGAGCCGAGTCCAGGGGCAAGGCCTACAGGGGAGTCTCACTGCCCATTAGCGGCAAGGCAGGGACCTGGTCTCCTGTCACTATAACCACCAACAAGATTTTGATTGGCTAATGTATCATTAATAATAATAATAATGATTTATTAAGTGTAACTAGACACTGAGCTATATCCATTAATTTAATACTTAACTCTTTTAGACCAAACTTAGGGTTTGATTGCTAACTACAGCATCATGTGGATGAGACTGTAGGCAGATCTTGAATTAAATTCCAGAACTAAGACTTCCAGTCCTTATGCTCTGAGATATGTTTTTCTAAGTACATGACTCTATTTTTCACTTTATTTGTGAGTGCCCACATGCATTATCTGGATCAGTCAGGGCTCCCTCATAACCCTAGACAGGTGGTTTGGCTTCTCCTTATTCTCTGCATTTATACATGTACAGAGTCTTGGGAGGTTCTGCCTGTAGATGGGTATCACCCTTCGCTGTTTTTCCTGGGTCCTTGTTTTTAAATCGCAGTCTGACCCATGAAATGAGGATTCCCCAGTGTTATGACAAGAATCAGTGAACAAACAAAACATCACTAGGCAGCAGGTTAGAAGATCTGGGTGTGAATACCAGCTGTCACCTACAACAGTGTGACCCTGGGCAAGTCGCGTGACCTCTCAGGCTCCAGCTTCCTCCTCTGTGTAAAGGAGCTGATGTTGGTCCAGCTTTGTATCCCTTGTAGGGTGGTTGTGAGAATCAAATGGGATGGAGAATTTATAAGAACTGTGTGGAATGCAATTTTA